ACTGGCTTGGCCCCGTAGAGGACTGACTCTAATCTGTCTGCTGAAGTCCAGGACAGGGGACGCCTTGACCAAATTTCAGTAGATCCGGGCTACCAGGGAGACCATGGGATCTGGCTAATTCCGAAGGTGGGATTCAAAATGCCCCCCGGCCTGCCTCCTAAAGAACTTGAAGAAACTGGGACTAGCCCAGGACCTACGGCGTAAACGCCTAATCTTCTACTCCACCCAGGCATGGCCTAATGACCTTGAGATTTTCTGTCGCAGGGAGAGAAAATGGTCAGAGGTCCCTTATGTCCAGGCTGTTGACCTCTGCTCCCGTCCTACCCTCTTCTCCTCTACTTTCCTCTGTCTGCTCCACAGCCCAGGTCTTGCTGGCCAAGATCGGGCCCCCACCTCTTAAGGACGCCTCTTCTGTGTTACTGCCAAACTCTCCACCCTCCACCTTTTTGGACCCTCCTGAGTTCCTGGGGATCCCACAGCTAGCCAGGATCCTCCCGCCCCCATATGTGCATTCTTCCGCCCCACGCCATGTCCTGCCATGTCCTGCCTCTCCCCGCCACCATTGCAGGAAGCCAGGTAGCCACATGGCCCAACCACCGGTCTCAAGCTCCTCCCCACCCCCATCCTAATGGGATTCACTGCTCCTGCTTCCCTGACTGCCCTCCGACAAAGTTTTAAAAGGACCTGTTCCTAAACACATGGCTCTCTAGCCTCCTCCTCTGGTCTCCTTTCTCTTCTCTCCTGCTGGCTCTCTCCTCTCATCTCTCTTCTCTCCTCACTAGCTCCTCTCCTCTCTTATCTTTTACACTCTCCTCCTCCCTTTTTTTCCCTTCTTCATTCCACCCCTCTGGTCTGCTGGGTTTTAGGTCAAGTGCCTAAGCCCCACGTGGCCAACTGAAAATGACATCATGGGCCTAAGGTGTTCTTAGGATAAAGGCAACTGTAACTGTAAAAAGACACTGAGTTTGAAGGAATTTCTTTGAATCTAGGAAGATCACTACCTTTGAAAATATCGCTTTGTAACTTGCTGAACTTATTTTGCAATTTATTTTAACAGGTTTCCTGGTAATCAGTACTCAATGAAACAACAATGGGTAATTAGTATTTGTTTTAAATGAATGCAATTTTAATTTTAATTGAATTCAGAGAGCGATATTTAATATCAGCATCTTAAGTCATTTAGGTGTAACTGCTAATTTATTGTAAACTTTGTATACTCAGCATGTTAAATTTGTGTTAAAAATGTTATAGAAATGTGCATTTGGTAAGGAAGGTTAAAAGGAAAGAGTTATTTTGAATTAAGGAAGGACAAAGTTTGTAAGATTGACTTCATCCTGATGGCTAGTTTACTCTAGACTGGAATGGAAATGATGGAATGTTTCAAGTAAGTTGAAGAAGGTGTGTGGAAATCACAACAGGCTACAAAAGAAATCTTGGATATTAATGAGAAAGCCACAGAGGCCTAAAGAGTTAAATGGTCTGTAAAATCTTACAGGTGCTTTCAAAAATGCTATGTGAAGTAAGCAAATGCCACTTGCTGAGTTTATAATGAGTTCGTAATTTTAAACGTGGCAACTGAAAGTCTTTTGTCGTCACAGTTTTATATATCAGATTTGCTGCTCATAAAACTAAAGCGTTGTTGGTTCTGTGCTTAGCTGTCCTCTTACAGGTTCCGATGGACTTTTTCCAGCCACATCTATTGTATTCAGTATTTTGGGATGGCACTGTAAACAGATGAAGCCAATAATGTATTACAGGTACCAACTGAGAGAAAGTATGGTTAGCTGAGGTTACTAAGAGCAGAAAGTAATTTGAATCAATTGGTAAATTAAAAAACAGTTAAAGTTTAATTGAAACTGCTATATTATCTAATGATTGAAACTGCTTTCTAAGTTTTCATTTGATATCACTATTGTCAGTAAGTGATATGGGACTGGCACCCCCATTTCTGTATTCTAAGTCCAAAGTGTTCTCTCTTGTCTCTATTCTCTTCTAGGTAGAAAACTAATTCTATTCTGAAGGACTCTCCAAGGTGCACAATTTGATTTTTAGATTAGAGATGGGACTTGAGCACCCCCTTGACTTGCATCCTCTGGTCTGCTTTAACAAAAATCAGGAGAAAGAGAAAGCTGGGCATCAGAAATGGAAAGATAGGTGGCAGCCTATTAATGGCTGTTCTGCACAGTGATCTGCCCTCAAGGAGACCCAACAGGCCAGTCTACTGCAGTGGCTTTCAGTGTGGTAAGCCTGGGCTTCAGAAGTAGTCAGCTTGTGAAGAGCCCTGGCAGCTCGGCCAGCCAAGAGTTGGATCACTGGAAATGGAACTGCCCTGGAGTCAAAAGACTTCAGGTCAGAGCCACAGACCTTGCTGGCTCCAAGCTGAAAAGCCCTTCACTCAGCCCAGCTTCCGAGGTGACCACCGCTGCTGAGAGAAGAAGGCCAAGTAGGGTCAGCAACACTGCAAGCAGAGCTGTAAATTTCCTGCTGGAGTTGCCACCTGCCTTCACCTGGCCAGCTCTCCTCCCAGGCCAGCCAGGTAATGGAAGTCAACAGGGTGCCTTCCCCAAGGAGGTTCACACCTCCCTTAGGATGTACCCTATCAAGAGACAGGTCTGGACCTCTTAACTTACAAGGCCTAAAGCCCACCAGATTATTATCAAGCCCCTTCTGTCAGGTTCTATTTGCCTCTCAATCAGCAAACTTAGTGGTGGCTTAGACAGCACCTTGCTTGGGTCCTCTAATAATGACTCTGTCCTTTGTTCTAGACCCTGTCTAGCCCGCTTGGGTCTCGTTCCTTTATAATCATAACCTCTACTCTAACATCAAGGCTCTGCTCCCAACCTGTGTGTACTGGCGGTCCTCTCCTCCATTTAATTTGTATGATTATTCAGAATTTCTCTACAGACAAACCCCACTACCTGCACAAGTTGAGTGGCCTTTCTCCCAGTCTTGGCTGGGATCAGATTTAAACCACGTCAATCAAACAATCCTCACAAGGGTCCAGAGACCCCCTCATTTCCTCTCTATGAAATCCTTTCATTACCTGGTTAATGCCACTCTTAGGATCATTGGTTGCTATTCTCACCCTGACTTGTATACTACAGTGTCTGTTTAAGTGTTTACAGCAGGTGATAATGGAATGAACCAAGGCCTTCAGAAACCAGGCAGTCAACCAGGTGCTTCTCCATCCATACATGCCTGTCCCTGCGGAGCCCCAAGATACCCACAGCGGGCCCCTGTAGACGATGTCCCCAGTCAGCAGGAAGCAGCCAGAGAGACTCATCGTCGCCCCCTTTCCTATCATCAAAATGTCAGGATGGTAGCTTTGGGATCCGCATGGAGGGAAGGCCTACACTTCCCAGAATGGAGAGTCCCTACCTGTATTTCTGGGGAAGAAAAGTCCTTGTCAGGGTCCCTGCAGGTGCCTAAAGGTCAACCAGTGAGGATCAGACCCGCCTTAACCTTTAACCCCCATGCCCTGAATCTATAAAAGGAGCCCTCCCAGCCTCTGACACGCGACTTCCCCGGCCCCTGCTCTGTTGCTCTGTTGGGGCCGTGGAACCTCGCCCGGGAGCGGAACCCCAATAAAAGCCTGTGAATTAATTGATTCGTCTGCCTGGGAAGATCTGTTATGCGCCGGACACCTTGCAGCAGCTGCCGAGTCCCGAGCACTCAGCCTTGTGCTTCGGACGTCTGAGACGGCTGAGTTAGGAGGGCGCCTGGGGATTTCACCGGGTGCGGGAAGCAGCAGCAGGCTGAACCAATTTCCTCGATCCTGTGGCTTTCAGAACACCTGTCAGCAGCTCCGCCCAGCCCTGCTGCCTGACGCAGACTCAGAAACCGGGTAGACACACCGACCCCTAGGGCCCAGGGAATTCCGTGGCTCCCCGGCCAGGCCAGACACTAGGGTGCTGGGGTCCCCGCCAGCATCCCAGCTTCCCTCTCTGGCTGGCTGCAGGGAACTGAGCTGCCAAGGCACTGTCCCTGTGTGCCCCAAGGCTGTAGTGCCGCCTCCACTCACCAGCAGAGTAAGAATTAAAAAACAAAATCTGGGTTGGACGCTGTGACAAAGTGGGGTGAGCTGCTGCTTGGGCCATCCACACCCCACATCAGAGTGCCAGCGACAAGCGTGCCCGGCCTACCTCCGATACACACTCCTGCTGGTGGGCACCCCGCAAGCACATGGAGATGTGCCGCCCCCACAGGAGGCCTGGGCTGTGTTCCTGGCTCTTGGCTTTGGCCCGGCCCAACCCTGGCTGTCATGCACATTGGGAAGTAAAACAGGAGATGGCAGATGCTTCTCTCTCTGCCTTTCAAACAGGTAAAAATAAACAAAAAACACTCACACCTTGGTGCTTATGTTGTGCCCTGCAGGGAAGACACCCACGTTCCACGCCGGAGTAGGTGGGCTCAGCACCACTTCCTGCTCCCGACTGCTCCGTCCCACCCATGTGCACCCTGCGAGGCCCCGGGGACGGCTCCAGTCGCTGGGTCCCTGTCACCCACACAGGAGACCTGGATATGACGTGGGCAATTCCCAAGCCAGGTTCTGGTCTCCGCAGAACACCAAGCAGAGGCGAGTCTTGAATGCCAACAGGAACGGAATTAGCTGACAGTGAGGGAATAAAACACAACCACAGGTGCTGGTGGGGGCTGCCCCACCAACTTGAGCGGGCCCAAGGGTGGTCGTCAACACCAGGAAGAAAAACCTGCCAACAGGGCGGCCGGCGCAGGTGAAGCTGTCGCTGCCTGCGACGCCGCCATTTCGCGCGGGCATGGATTGCAGTCCCAGCTGCTCCGCTTCCGACCCGGCTCCCTGCTAACGGCCCGGGCAGAGCAGAGTAGGACGGCCTACGGGGAAGCTCCTGGCTCTGGTTCTGGCTCCGGCCTGGCCCAGCCCCAGTGGCCATGTGGGGAGTGAACCAACGGATAGAAGACCTCGCTCTAACTATGCTTTTAAATAAATACATAAATCTTAGCGAAAAACCTGAAAATAGTACCTCTGAGCGAGAATGCAAGAGGTCCGTCCGAGCCGGGTCGGTGGTGAGCAAACGAGAGCCTCACCCCAGTTCGTGTCCCACAGCGGAAAGACCAAAGCGAGCAGCGTCGGCCCACTGCGCGTAGAGAGCGCGTCTCTCCGACTTCCGCCTCTATTTATAAGGGAGGGGGTGGTACCTCAATGTGATAGGCAGCTGGGCTTGGGGGTCCCGGATGGGACAGGTCGCTCTGGGAAGGTGGGCGTATCTCCCGACAGTTAAAGAAACAGCACCACTTTGTGGGTAAACGAGAGTTTTAACTCAGCTAAACTTTTTAAAAAATTTATTCATTTGAAAAATCAGAGAGAGAGAGAGAGAGAGAGAGGGGCGGGGGAGAGATACTTGTCTGCCTCTCAGATAAGTAGAGATTTAGGGGTCGGTGCTGTGGCACAGTGGGTTAAGTCGCCATTTGCAATGCCGGCTTACCATGTGGACACCGGTTCGAGTCCCAGCTACTCTTCTGATCCAGCTCTCTGTTATGGCCTGGGAAAACAGCGGAGGATGGCCCAAGTCCTCAGGCTCCTGCACCCACATGGGAGACCCGGATGAAGTTCCTGGCTCCTGGCTTCAGCCTGGCCCAGCCCGGCCATCGCAGCCATTGGAGAGTGAAGCAGCAGATGGTTCGACCCCAGGCACTCTGAGTGTCCCAAGCGGCACTTAACCTGATGTGCTGCAAGGCGCACCACAACCCTCCTCTTTTTTGTTTGTTTGTTTACGGTTTTATTTATTTAAAAGACAGTTACAGAGAAAGGTAGAGACAGAGAGGTCTTCCATCTGCTGGTTCACTCCTCAAATGGCTGCAACGGCTGGAGCTGTGCTGATCCAAAGCCAGGAGCCAGGAGCTTCTTCCTGGTCTCCCATGTGGGTACAGGGGCCCAAGCACTTGGGCCATCTTCTACTGCATTCCTAGACCGTTAGCAGAGAGCTGGATTGGAAGATGAGCCAGGACTTGAACCGGCGCCCATGTGGGATGCTGGCACTGCAGGCCAGGACTTTAACCCGCTGTGCCACAGTGCTGGCCCCAAGCCTTGTCTTAAAAAAAATTTTTTTTTTTTTAGGATTTATTTATTTGTTTGAAAGGCACAGTTACAGAGAGGGAAAGGTAGAGAGAGAGGTCTCCCATCCGCTGGTTCACTCCCTTAATGGCCACAATGGCCAGAGCTGGGCAGGTCCGAAGCCAGGAGCCAGGAGTTTTTTCCAGGTCTCCCATACAGGAGCAGGGGCCCAAGCACTTGTGCCATCTTCTGCTGCTTTCCCAGGACATTAGCAGGGAATTGGATCAGAAGAGGAGCAGCTGGGATTTGAACTGGTGCTGTCATATGGGATGCCGGCACTGCAAGAGGTGGCTTTACCCGCTACGTCACAGCGCCGGCCCCTTATTTCCTTTTTTGAAAGGCAGAATTCAGAGAGAGGGAGAGACAGATCCACTGGTTCACTCCATGAATGACCACAACAGCCATGTCTGGGCCAGGCTGCAACCAGGAGCCCAAAACTCCACCCTGGTCCCCCAAGGGTGGCAGGGGCATCTTCTGCTGTCTTCCCAGGCATATAAGCAGGAAGTCGGATCAGAAGCAGAGAAGCTGAGATTCCAACTGTGGCTCTGAAATGGGACGCCAGCATCACAAGCTGCAACTTAAAACCCACAACGTGAGCCCCAAGCTTGGTATTTTTATTTTTAAGTTTTTAAAAAGATTTATTTATTTGAAAGGCAGAGTTACAGAAAGGCAGAGACAGAGAGAGAGGACTTCCATCTGGTGGCCCGCTCCCCAGTCTGCGCTGCACTGATCTAAAGCCAGGAGCTTCTTCTGGGTCTCCTACGTGGGTGCAGGGGCCCAAGGACTTGAGCCATCTTCAACTGCTTTCCCAGGCCATAGCAAAGCGCTAGATAGGAAGTGGAGCAGCCGGGACTTGAACCGGTGCCCATATGGGATGCCAGCACTGCAGGTGACAGCTTTACCTGCTAGGCTCCAGCACTGGCCCCAGCTTCATATATTTAAAAGCTCACCTAGGGATGGGAGAACCATGCCTCTGCATACTAGCACAGACCTTGAGTTCAGGGCGTTTTTTTTGTTGTTGTTGTTTTTTGGTTTTTTTTTTGACAGGCAGAGTGGACAGTGAGAGAGAGAGACAGAGAGAAAGGTCTTCCTTTTGCTGTTGGTTCACCCCCCAATGGCCGCTGCGGCCGGCACACTGCGCCTATCCGATGGCAGGAGCCAGGTGCTTCTCCTGGTCTCCCATGGGGTGCAGGACCCAAGCACCTGGGCCATCCTCCACTGCACTCCCTGGCCACAGCAGAGAGCTGGCCTGGAAGAGGGGCAACCGGGACAGAATCCAGCGCCCCGACCGGGACTAGAACTCGGTGTGCCGGCACCGCTTGGCAGAGGATTAGCCTAGTGAGCCACGGCGCCGGCCAAGTTCAGGGCTTCTTAGAGATGTAGGAAAGGGGGCCGGCGCTGTGACACAGAAGGTTAAGCCGCCACCTGCAGTGCTGGAATCCCGTGTGGGTGCTGGTTTGAGTCCCAGCTGCTCCACTTCCAATCCAGCTCCTTCCTAATGGGCCTGGGAAAGCAGCAGATGATGGCCTGGATGAAGCTTCTGGCTCCTGGCTTTGGCCTGGCCCAGCCTTGGCTGTTGCTGCCATTTGGGGAGTGAGCCAGCGGATAGAATCAATCTCTCTCTCTCTCTCTCTCTCTCTCTCTCTCTCTCTCTCTCTGTTTTTAACTCTGCCTTTCAAATAAATAAATCTTAAAAAAAAAAAAAAAAAGGAAATAGGAAAGGAGTCCGGAATTACTGCGTCCAGCACCCATACACGGGAAGAAAAACCAAGGTGCGCGTCCGTTCCTCTTCTGTGTGGGCAGAGAGACGCCCCTTCTCCTTTCCTGATCAAGACCTGCAGCCGGCGGAGCTGCTCCGTGCGCGCCCTCCTCGCACGCTGCATACGAACAAGGACCCTAGAGGAAGCTGTGGCTCTCCTGTCCCTTTAGGAAATCAGCACCTAGGCCTGGAGGAGACAGCCACTCCTTGGCTTAGCACGGCTGTACCCGCAGTGCGTGCCAAGCTGGTGATACGGCAGGTGGCTGGTGAGCCCGGAAACCAGGCGAAGAGGAAGCCAGCGTGGCTGGAGCCCCGAATCTAAGAATCTCGGGCTGGGTTCGAGGAGGCTTGTGGCAGGGGCCCGGAGCCAGTGAGTTCTGCTTCCTTTCCCAGCGCTCCGGCCTCCGGGGCGCCCCAGGAGCCTCCGGGGAGCGTTCCAGGGAGACGGGCGCACCCTGGTGGCAGGACTAGCAGTTGCGCGCAGTGGGGAGTGGCCCAGAGAACCAGGGCTGACTGGTTTGGCAAATATCTTCCCGCGGCAGCCGCTACTTCTTAGGGAGCAGCCTAGCAAACTGAGCCAGGCAGGGACCCGCCCTGCAGGACACACAGCCCTGCTAACAGGGCGGAAATCTCTGGCCCTCGCGGCTCTGCCACATGCAGAGATGGGGCGCCCAGCAGTGTTTAAATAAATGGAGCCCTGGGGCTGGCGCTGTGGCATAGCGGGTAAAGCCGCCGCCTGCAGTGCCAGCATCCCATATGAAATAAATAAATAAGCAAGCAAGCCTTGCCAAGGTCACAAGTGGCATGATGTTTCAAGTGCGCTGAAGTCCACCATGGCTCCAGCCTGCCAGCCAATCAGGGCTGCAAAAGTGTTGTTTTACTTGCCACAGTTTTATTCTTTAATCTGAAATTTTTAGAGTCTATTGTGTAAACATGGGCACACACATATGTGCACAAGAGATTATACAGGAAAAATAGCAGTTTCCTGCCTCTTAAGAACATCTTGCGGGGGCCGGCGCTGTGGCATAGTGGGTTAATGCCCTGGCCTGAAGTGCTGGCCATCCTATGTGGGTGGCGGTTCAAGTCCTGGCTGCTCCTCTTCCAATCCAACTCTGTTATGGCCAGGGAAAGTAGTAGAAGATAGCCCAAGTCTTTGGGTCCTTACACCTGCATGGGAGACCCGAAAGAGACTCCTGGCTCCAGAATGGCCCAGCTCTGGCCAGTGCAGCCTTTTGGGGAGTGAACCAGCAGATGAAAGATCTCTGTCTCTCTCTCTGCCTCTGCCTCTCTGTAACTCCGCCTTTCAAGTAAATAAGTAAGTCCTGGCCACCCTGGAGGTGGGCATTTGGTGTAGCAGTTAAGACACTGGGCTGGTCAAGTGGCATGTGAGAGTGCCAGGTTTCAAGTTCAGCTCTGCTCTCGGTTTCGGGTTCCTGCTAATGGACGCCCTGGATGATGGCTCAAGTAGTTGTTTTCCTGCCACCTATGTGGGAGACTAGGATTTGATTCCTGGCGCCTGGCTTCAGTTGGCCCAATCCTGGTCATTTTGTGGGCAATTGGAGAATGAGCCGGTGGATGGGAACTCTCTCAAAATTTTTTGAAGGCTTATTTTAAGTGCAGAGTGACAGAGAGAGCAAGAGACCTTCTACTGGCTGATTGACTCCCCTACTGGCAACAATGGGTGGGGCTGGGCCAGACAGAAGCCAGGAGCATCTTACGGGTCTCCTACATGAGTGCACGGGCCCAAGCACTTGGGCCATCTCCTGTAGCTTCCCCAGGTGCACTAGCAGGGAGCTGCATTGGAAGTGGAGCAGCCAGGACTCAAACTAGTGCCCATGTAGGATGCCAGTGGCACAAGCGGTGGCTTTACCCACCGTGCCACAATGCTGGACCCCAATTTTTCAGAAAGGCCACTCTAGGCCAGTGCTGCAGCTCACTAGGCTAATCCTCCACCTTGCGGCGCCGGCACACCGGGTTCTAGTCCCGGTCAGGGCGCCGGGTTCTGTCCCGGTTGTCCAGGCCAGCTCTCTGCTGTGGCCAGGGAGTGCAGTGGAGGATGGCCCAGGTGCTTGGGCCCTGCACCCCATGGGAGACCAGGAGAAGCACCTGGCTCCTGCCATCGGATCAGCGTGGTGCACTGGCCGCAGTGCGCCGGCCGCGGCGGCCATTGGAGTGTGCCCAACGGCAAAGGAAGACCTTTCTCTCTGTCTCTCTCTCTCACTGTCCACTCTGCCTGTCAAAAAATTAAAAAAAAAAAAAAGAAAGAAAGAAAGAAAAAAAGAAAGGCCACTCTAGAAGCCAGCTCCGCTAGGTGGCCTCAGGTGTCATCAGCTTTGTTTGGCAGGCCCCTGTATATAGACAATTCTTAACCTTTGACATCTACTCGGACTCCTGATAAAGACACAACTGCATTAACTGCATTGCACACTTGAGCACTTGGGGTGAAGTCTTGGCTCCAAGTTTAGCTTATTGCTAAAGCACACACTGAGGGGGGAGGCTCTGAGCGCAGGCAAGCCAGTGACGGTCCACATACTCGAGTCCCTGCCACTCCTTGCTGGAGTTCCAGGCTCCCAGCTTTGGCCTGGCCCAGCCTCTACTGTTGCAGCTGTTTGGGGTGTGTACCAGCATATGGGATCTCTCTCTCTCTCCCCTTTCAAATAAAACAAATAAATTACATAAATAAAAATCTGCACAGGGGATCTTGGGAAAGAGGCCAGCAGCTGTTCCCCCACCCCCACCCCGCCCCTTACAGGGAGGCACAGATGTGACCTGGGCTGGGGAGCGGATGGAGGGAGGGAGCCAGCAGGTGCCGGCATATCAAAGACAGCAGAGTGCCCGGGCGGAGCTTCTATGAGGAGCTGGCCCCGATCTGAGAGGGGGGCAGTCCGCGGAGCAGAAAGGTCCTCCTAGGGCTTCTGTCCCCCTGCGCTCAGAGCCTCCCCCCCCCCCCGGCCATCCCTAAGGGCCCCACCCCCGGCAAACACGGAGCTCCACTGCTCCCAGAGCGGCAGGACAAGCAGGTCTGGAGCTCCCGGGCTGCTAGCAAACCACGGCCCGGGGCACAAACTCTCTGGCCCGTGGGTCAGTCGTGCCCCCGTTGCTAAAGGAGGAGCCCACCCTGCCCTGGCGCTGGGCAGGGTCGCCAGGCAGTGCGGCACTGGGCCTCTCCGGCTCTCTCCGCTCCGCCCCGCGCGCAGGCTTCCCGAGTTTCTATGGAGACGAGGGCGGGGCCGGGGGGCGCACGCGCCCAACGCCTAACGGCCGCGCTGGCGGCAGAGCCCTGTCCGTGGGCGCCGAGGGAAGGCACGCGTGGGCAGCCCTCTCAAGGCTACTGGGCACGGGAGGCTGGTGATGGGCAGCGCTGCTGCTCGCACCCAGAGAGAGCGCCCTTCTCCCGCGGCTCCACAAGTTAGATCCCCAGCGGCCTCGAAGCCTGAGCTGCTGCAAGCCCGGGCAGCTGGCGGAGAGGGGACCCGCTGTCCGCAGGTGGCTAGGTGGCAGGGCCGCAGGCCCAATGTCCCTGTTTGAGTGGAGACTCCGTATTTCCATTATTCAAACAAGTGTTTGTTGGCCAGACGCAGGGGACTTGGAGGGGTCCAGAGAGACTCACATATGAATGCAAAACATAACAAGGAGTGCGGGGAGAAGAAAGGAGGAAGGCTGACTGGGGTGGGGTGGGGGTGGGCAGGGGACCCCTACTTCAGATGGGCTTATCAGGGGAGGGGCGTCTGCCTTTGGGCTAAGGGGCAACAAAGAATGGGCCAGCAAAGGTCTCTGAAGAGGGGCCAGAGGCACCAGGCCCCTGTCTAGTGGGACTGTCTGGGGACAGAAACGGGGCAGCGGGGCGGGGCAAGAGCAGCAAGCTAGAAAGTGGGGTGATCGAGCAGGCAGGGCCTGCAGCCCTGCGCAGCAGCAGGACAGGCCCCATAAGCTCTGAGAAAGCTTTGGCCTCAGTGAAGAGCAGGTGGCAGAAGGACCCACTGGCAGGGCTGTGATCCTGCTCGGGGACGGGCAGGGGGAAGCGGTGGGGAAGCGGACGCGACTGGGTTCCAAGGCCCTTGCCAGATGGACAAGCTCCTAACAGCTGTCCCAGGGAGGGCTCCACATTGCCACCCTGTGGCCTCCCCTGGGCCTCGCTGCCTCCTCCCACTGCAAACGTCCCCTAGTCCCTGGCTTCCACGGACTGGCCAGCTGCCGGGGACCGGGTGGGAGCAAGGGTGCTGGGCTGGGGCTTAGACGTGAAGTGTGACCCAGGGTCCTGCACAGGCCCTGCCTCTTCTCTGGAGGGCAGCCTTTTCCCAGTGGGGAACGCACGTGGGGTTCTCAAGGGCCGGTCTCTGGAGAATGAGCTGGTCAAAGGGCCATCACGGACATTTTAATGAGTGCTACTCACACCAGGTGCCGGTTTTGTGGGTTGACATTTTGTTTTTTCTTTTTCCTTTCACAAACCGACATCTGTGTGCCAATGACTGCTGCACAAGATAGACAAGGCCTCGGGGGAAGGGAGGCAGATAAGCAAAGGATGCTGTCGCTAGTGAGAAAAGGAAAGGGGGGGGGCGGGAAGGGGAGGGAGGAGGGAGGAGGTGGTGGGGTGGGACGGGGCTGGGGTGCCGGGGTGGCAGCAGCAAGGAGGCGGGCATGGAGGCGAGCCTGGGAGATAAAGTCGAAGAGGTCAGCGGGTGCCAGAGGACCCTGCAAGGGGCAGCCTTTGCAAGCATGGCCTGGCTGCCTCTTCATTGTAACGGGGGAGAAGGGGACAAAGGGTGGGCCAGCCAGGGATCGTGGGAGGAAAGATGGCGAGGTGGCCAGTGGCATTCCCCTCCCACGCCCCCACGGGGACAGCAGAGCCGGTTTCAGGTTGCCCAGGAAACTGGGGTGGCTGCGAACTCGCTCTTGACTAGAAGCCGGACGGCGGTGGTGCGGGTTGGAATTCAGGATCCCGTAGACCGGACAGGCGTGGGTACTGGGTATGGGGCAGAAATGAGGCATCTGGAGTCTCACAGAGGCAGCCCCTGGGCGGGTCTCTTCTCATTCATTCAACAAATATTTATTGAGGGCCTACTACGTGCCAGGCCCTTTTTGCAGCAGTAAGTGAGCCACCATCCAGTGGGGGTGACCAGTCGTACAGGGACATCATTTCACAAAGACATGAGAATAAGCACAAGTGCTGGGAACGCTGGGAGGCAACTCCCGGGGTCGGGGAGGCAGCACAGCCTTGGCCCTGGCTTCCCTGGCCCGCTCCCACCCCAATCCCACAAACTTTGTCTCCCCAAATTGAGGCCGCTGGCCACGAATGCACAAGGCAGGTCTTGGAGGATGTTTGCTGTGTTTGTCAGGTTATGCCTTGGAGCCTGGGGACCCTGACCTCATCCTGATGCATCCCCCCATCCCCTGCCCCATTCTGCAGATGGGGGGCGTGTTCACATGAGGAATCTGCTGCAAAGCCAAACCTCAGCAAGGGGGTTTCCAGGGCAGGGACGGAGGCTGGGCCAGCAGCGGGGCCTCTCTCTGAGGAGGGCGTTGCGGGGAGACTCTGTTACTTAGAAGAAGGCTCTGGGCCAGCCCCTAAATGAGCGCCCCACTCCTGCTCTCTTCTCGATGTCCCCACCCAGGGGGACGTGGAGCTTTTCCAGCGCAGACCCAAGTGGAAAGTCAAGACTAGAGTCTCTCCTGCCTGGGAGGGACTACGTTCCCTCTGGGTACCCAGGCTGGAGCCCCGGGAAGCAGAGGGCAGGGCAGCCGGGCTCAGCGGGGGGATTCAGCAGACTGGCCAGAGGCCGGCAGGAGCACTGAGCCAGGGCTCTCTAGAGCCCTGGGAAGCCCAGTGTGCATCCTAGCCCAGAGGGCTGGGGTTTGCTCGAGCCTGGGGGGCAGGAACCCCAGGAGAGGGAGCCATGCCGCTCAGGGCAGTAACTTGAAATGCCCTGCCCGGACCCAGGCAGCTGGGATAGGGAAGAGAGTCCAGGCTCACATGGGCGTGGCATGGGCATGACACATCCATCAAGGGGGCAGGGCCCCAGCTGCCGGGCAGTCACTCAAAAGAGCAAGGTGGAGCTGGGTATTTGGAGCAGTGGTTAAGACTCCACTTGGGACATCCACATCCCATATCTGAGTGCCCAGGTTCGAGTCCTGGCTCCGCTTCACTTTCAGCTTCTACCAGCGCTGACCCTGGGAGGCAGTGACCATAGCTCAGGTGTTTGGGTTTCTGGCACCCACTGGGTTCCTGGCTTCAGGCTGGCCCAGCCACGATGTTTTGGGCATTTTGGGGGTGAACCGGGGGATGGAAGATTTCTGTGTTTCAACTAAAATTGAAAATAACTTTTAGAAGTATTTCCAATATCCTGAGGTGATGGCTATGCCAATCACCCTTCTCTGATGAGTACACACTCACACTGCCCCACAAACATGTACGAGTGTGCCAATTAAAATCATTTAATTAAAACAAGATAAGTTTAAAAAAACAACTGAGATCAGAGACATGAATTTAGATTTAAGTGATCACCATGTAGTATGAGACAAAAATAGATTAAAAAATATAATCAGCATAGCTGTACACCAAGCAATTTTTAAAAATAAAAAGGATCCAGATTTTAAAGGTATTTTAAATAGATAAAGGGGGTCAGTGCGGCAGCTCACTAGGCTAATCCTCCGCTTGCGGCGCCGTTACCCCGGGTTCTAGTCCTGGTCGCCCCTCTTACAGTCCAGCTCTCTGCTGTGGCCCAGGAGTGCAGTGGAGGATGGCCCAAGTGCTTGGGCCCTGCACCCGCAAGGGAGACCAGGAGAAGCACCTGGCTCCTGGCTTCGGATCAGCGTGGTCCGCAGCGGCCATTGGGGGATGAACCAATGGAAAAGGAAGACCTTTCTCTCTGTCTCTCTCTCTCACTGTCCACTCTGCCTGTCAAAAAGAAAAAAAGAAAGAGAGAGAGAGAGAGAGAGAGAGAGAGAGAGAGAGAGAGAGAAAGAAAGAATGAATTACATAGAGGAGGGGAAAGCCGCTGCCCGGCTGCCAGCCTGGAGTGGGGAACCTCCCCCTCCCCTTCCTTCCAGGCCCCTGCGCAGCTGCTGAACCAAGAAATCAGAGAGCAGGTGAAAAGCAGTTTTATTTGGATGCAGAATAGATTTGCTAGAGATAGAAGGCACCAACTCCCCGCCAGGGTCTGGCGTTTTCCTACCACGTGGGTCTGTGTGGCCGAGCATTCTCGGGGTGATGGGCAGAGTTGAGGGGGTGGTGGCAAACTTCTCAGACCCCAAGTGGCCCCTTTCTCAGCTTTTGCAAGCTCTTGTCAAATTCCTGGAAACTGCTCCCCACAGTAAGATCTCTAGTCCTCAGCGAATAGGATTCTTGCTCTTTTTAACCATTCCGTAGCCATTTTGATTGTTCTGTTATCACAGAGGGAGCTATTAAATCCCACTTAGAGACTGCAGCTGGTTCAGTTCCTGGGCCCAGCAACCTTGGGCGTGGGGTCTCTCCTGGTCCCCAGGGTGGAGCCCTGGAGGGAGGCTGATGGCCAGCAGGACCCTTCGGGGCTGCAGCTTTGATGGAGAGCCCCTGTCTGCAGCTAGACTGTGGGGGCTCCCCAGGAATTCTGCTTCGACCTCAGCCCCCACCTTTTCATCCTCTCGGCCTTTGAAGCAACTTGTGGCAACCTTTGATGCCAGGTGTACTCCTAGCTTCCTGGGCCCACAGCCGAGCCCAGCCCAGCCATGGGAGGGGGGGCAGGAGGGGCCAAGCCCCCAACAATGTCCCCATTCAGGGCTTCAGGATCCACATTTGCATCTTAAAGGCAACCTGCCCCACACCCTCTAGCCGTGTTCCCCTTTGTTTCCCCTTCAAGGCTGAAAAACAGAGCATAGGCCCCTACAGACGTGTTCATCCCAAACCTGGGCTCAGGCCTAGGCTGGAGCCAAGGCTTTGGTTTAAAGCACTTTAGCCCTTCCCAAATGTTAACCCTCGGGCCAGCTTCCCTCCCCAGAACTGGGGGGCTGGCGGCAGGACCTGGGGCCCCATTTCCTCCTCCCCTCAGCCCTCCACTACCCTCCCTGCCCAGGCCTTCGGAAACCCTCCAAGCCTCCCCACCGGTGCTCCGGTGCATACGCCCCTTTTACCAACGGCAACACTGAGGCCCACAGAGGCTCAGGGGCTGGTTCGGAGCCCAAAGCTTGGGAATCCCAGTCCTGGACTTCCCACCCTGCCAGGCTTTCCTCCAGTCAGGCTGTGCTTCCGTGCTCCTGTGGGCCCCGGGTTGTCTGTTGTCTGCGGGTGGGTCGTCTTCTTCTGCTCAGGAGCTCAGAGTCAGCGCTGAAGTATCACTCACACTCCATACCTCCAGCCCTTGCACAAGTTGGGAAACTGAGACTGGGCGTCCCAGTTCCACACTTGAAGCCCCCTTCTGGGGGAATTTTACAAATGGAGGGTG